CTGTGTGGGCATCCTGCAGCCGCATACCTTGGGGGTGCATTTCTCCCTAAAGGAAGTTACTTTTAAACAGGAAGAGAGGAAGAAACAGTTGCTACAGATATGTGGGACGATGGCTTGTCGAGCATTCTTTGCATACTTGCACATCAGCTGCATGAAACAGCGACACTGGCATGAACGTGGAACATGTTGCTATTATAGACACTAAAGGCTATTTGTAATCTCACAGAGGGGAGGTGAAGGATTTCCACTAACACAGGAAGCAAAGGATCAGAAATAATTCCTGGAATTTGTTTTTTTCCACACAGCAATAAAGCTTTGCTAGGCATATGGAAACAATTTTTCAAACAATCTAAAAAAAAACAATTTTAAAAACAGATTATAAAGCAATTAGATAATCTAAATTTTTATTTTTGATTTAAGCTAAAATGCTTACTAAAGATAACCAGAATCCTATCATCATTGTTACATGAGAAGAGGTATAGGAAATAAAAAGACTGAGGTGTGTAGAATCTGTTTGAAGGGCTGAACTACAGAATAATTTTAGTGTACGCAGGAGGTGCACTTTTTTAAAGTTCCCAAATGATCCCATTTATGTACACTGTATTAAAATGTTAGTGCGGCACATCTAAGCGGGACACTGCTGTATGCAAATTGCCTGCTATGTTTGCCTACGGAATGCTTGAGACGATACACTCTTCAACAAAACCTGTGAAGCACTTTGAAATGTTTTTAACAACGTGATAAGGCGCTATATTATATGCAAGGATTATTGTTACTGTATGTAAGCATAATGAACTCCAAGACCCATCTGTTCTCTTAAATTAACTTTCTCAGCTGTTAATAGTTTCCTCTTATCAGGTACTCTTTCCGATCTATTATGAGCCTTTGCTTGTCATCTTTTCTAGTTTCAATACACTTGCCTCTTTTAGACCTGCAGTAAAACAATGCCTCCCATATCTTTCACAAGTAAAAAAAAAACTAGCAAAGTGCTAAGGCTTGCTTTAGAGAATTGAGAAAACCATATTACTAAGATTCAGATTGTTTATTCATCTACAATTGAGATACATTTAAAAATCTACCAGGTTAAAAACTCTTAACAGGATCAACGAAACAGTTCTCCTGCATGAGACATTTAGGAAATGAAGTATCAAATTTCTGTTCCTATATCAAATTTCAGGAGCTGCTATGAAAATAGTTGATTTGGGTAACATGGTGCTAACCTAATCCCTCCTCAGAAAGGCAAGCTAAGAAGAAGTGGCATAATCATTAGATTCCAAATAATATTCTTTATATTATGAAGACTAGAAGGACTGAGCTTTTTTTTTCCAGTCCTGGTTACCTCACTCTTTGTCTGGAGAAAGATCTCGCTGCAAATTAACTTTGCTCACAGCATTTTGTTCTGCAATGTGATTTGTGGTTCCGCATTCTGAGCAGGCTTCCCAGATTGCAATTGTCCAAGTGGTTTGTTTCCCTTCTGGAGAAAGCGGCCTCGATCGAAGTCAAAATAATTATACTTCCCAAGATCTTATGGCTCTATTTCAGCTTCAGTGAGCAGCGTTTACAGCAAGAGCTTAGATGTGTGGTGAACCATGCAGTTTTATAGCAAAGTTACAAATCATGGCCCTGGATAACCTACATTATTATATAAACCTTCCTAATTTTCAAAGAACAGCCATTACTGAAGTTACACGAAACAACGTTTTGGTGGTCAGCCGAGTGTCTTCGACACATGCGGAAACTTGATACCATGCTTAAGAATATAAAAGACACAGATCTACATATATATGCCACTTGCGCATGGAAATTTCCCTGCGTCTGGAATGGAATGTGAACTCTCTCCCTGGAGGAATGCATCCTGGCTTATCTAATTCTGGAGAGTATTTGGCATAGGTTGGCAAGAGCCAAGCCTCGGCACCCCAGAGTGTGAATTGGGGTACTCCTGGAGTTTAACCAGCAATAACCACATCGCTTGCCATTGAGATCATTGTCTGGCAAGCACCTCACTGCTTATCAAAGCCAGGACAACAACAACTTGATTTAGCTCGTGCCTTTCACTCACTCGATATCAAACTATGCCATTGTTAAGTGCTCCAAGACAGACTTAACAATGGCATAATTTGACTTCAAGCTAAGGGAGAAAGGCAAAGTGACTGTAGGCTCAATCGAAGAGGGAAGTCTTCAGGACCACCTTGCAGGATTAGCAGGAGCTGAATGGTAAAAATCCTTGCTCACAGTAACTGTGGGTATGCCCTCCAGGTCTCCTCAATGAGCCAGTCTATTTGGGCTGTCATCAGCAGTGCCCTGGAACACTGTGGACATGCCTGGTTTAGGAACTGGACTACTGAAACTGCCGCACAGGGTTGGCTTGATTCGGGATTTTGTTCTCAAGCATGTCACTTGGAAGTCATCCAAATGGACGTTTTACAAAGGTATAAAAATATACTCTGCGTTTAACTATCAGTGGACAGTGAATGATTTACCAGGAGCCACACTGTCATCAAGCCAATGGGATATGATGCATTACCTCTAACAGCCAGGCTGTCGTACTAAACATTCTCAGCACGGAAAAGAGAATCTGTTCATGAAACACGTCATTGGGGCTGGCTAACTGGACCATTCAAGGACGAGGTTCAGCGGGTTAAAGCTAAAGCCACAGGGAGACAATATTGAGCAATCCAGTATTATGTCACTTTACTTCAAGTTACAGTATAACCAAACAAAATATCTGTTACTTACATAAAAACTATCACAAGCTGGCAACAGTCTGTGTATATTACAGATACTGCACACATCAAAGTAATGAATAATAATATAATTCAGAATAGTAATAACAGTAAATTAATAATAGAACCTCAGTGGAACCCTGCTGTAATGCACTTTGTTGTTTATTCATGTGTATTTAATCACTCACTTTGAGCCATTTGGGTGTGGAGCCTGACATCGACTGAACAAAAAAATTCAAAATGAACACAGAAAGCTGTCTGGCTTCGTTCACAACACAAGGCTTCAAACTGTATTGGTTTAAAGTGCAACAATGAGAGATGCATAACGCGGTGATTTGAAGTGAATTACGAATGCAGAAGTGTTGACCAGCAACCACGCCCTGTTATAGGCAGATTGGTATTTTATTCACCGCCATTTCTACTTTATATGGTTTTTCATTTGAAATTTCAGTCTGCTATTTCCATTATTTATTTCATAATGTTTATAATAATACATATTATTATTTTTTTCATTTATTGTGTAAATCTATACGCAAGATTTACATTGGTCTGAATAATGGAAATTGATGTTATTGTATAAAATAAATATGCATTTATGTAGGATTCTATAAAATGCACAGTAGGTATTGGTGAAACTACATTCTTCCTCTCCTCTTAAGGCAGTGGCTCATACTGACAATAATGATATCAGAAGTTAAAACAATGGCTGATTTCTCTCTTTATAAGCAAGTTATTTAGCTAATATTTAGCTTTATTTAAAGCTAACTCAGCAAATACCATTAATCAGACATTCTCCTATAGTCTATAGCACTGACTTTATCAACTCATGACCAGAAATCTATCAAAAAAATCTAAATAATCAACAAAAAAGCAAACAAACAAATCCAACTTATATTGGCCACATCTCAGTGTTGACTGAGTTTGGTTGAGCAAATGTAAGGAGTTAAAAGTTGGTTAATGGTTAGGCTGTAATTAAGTCGACAGCACCATCTACTGGATAAAACCACAATTACTGTATAAAGTGCAGGTAAATTAAGCTTTGTGAAACTTGCCCAAATGGATATATTCCACTTGACTATATCTGCATTTTCAAGACATCACACGCTAATAATAATAATCCTTGCATTTGATATAGCGCCTGATCACTTCGTTGAGACGTTTTGAAGCGCTTGACACAACACATTGTAAAGTGTTGGGACCGTATTTTGTGGGTGAAATGCGGCTCCCAATTGCGCACAGTGTCCCACATCATTCATATTTAAACCAGCTCGATCACGCCATCAAATCAAGATCTTGATAAACTTCGAGCTTTCATTTTCTGAACAGCAGTAACATTTTAATACTCAAAACCATTTCAGAAAGTGAAAAATAATTAGCTACTGAGAAAACTTTTGGCCTTAACGTAAAACATTCTCAATGCATTATCTTATGCAGCTGAAAAACAACGTTAAAATGGGAAAATCTTGATCTTTCTGTCATAGTTTTGATTTGTGGCTAGGTTTATTTTTTCGTTCAAGAGCAACATGACTACATTCAGTTTGGGGGCAAAATAATGAATACAATCCATCACCATCATCATCTTGGAGTCCTGTAGCTCAGTGGTTAGAGCACTCGCTTTGCAAGCGAGAGACCTGGGTTCAATTCCGGGCAGAGGGTGAAACCTTGGGCAAGTTTCCTTACTCCACACAGAGCCTAATAATAATCCCTCCAAAAACTAAAAACAGTAATAAATTGGTAATTTTCAATCCACGACTGTTTGTGGGACATTGCTGTGCGCAATTGGCTGCCGCGTTTGTCCACAAATATAGTCAATTCACTTGACAGTGTGTTTTGTGAAGCGCTTTGGGATGTCCTCCCGACGTGAAAAGCGCTATATCAAATGCAAGGATTATTATTATTATTATGATCTTGTATGAAGATAATGTAATGAAATGAAATGAGTGAGACAGAAATAGGATAGGTAAAGTGTACACAATCCACAGGCTCGATGAGCCAAAAGGCCTAATTTCATTCCAAGCTTCAGTCACAAACTTTGGTATTGTGCTCATCATGTAATGCATATATTTAAATACAAGCCTTGTAAATTCTTAAATACTATATCCTTCAGCTGAAAGACAATGTCTTTCCTTCTGATCTTTAAGCGCTCTGAGACGCTACCCTGCATGGAGGGCACTATATAAGTGCAAGTTGTTGTTGTCTTATTTTACTGGTGACAAAGAAGTCAAAGTTTAAGCATAAACTAATAAATTATGCAAATTCTGTTGATTACAAACTCACCGAGGATTTAGCAAAAAGAGGCACTCCTACATCTATCACAATGGGTTCTGATGTCTGCAAGTCAGCCACATGGGTCCTGGGATTAATCTGCATAATTGAAGAAAATGGCCCAAAATCTGAAAAGAAACCCTCAATATGGAAGCTACTATTACAAAAAAACAACAAAATTACATTTATAGAGCGCCTTTCACGTTGGGATGATTATTAAATAATCATTCTGATCTTAAACAGCCTCGCTTCAAATGTAGTCAATGTGAAGTATGTGATATGAATCAACAATCCATTACTGTACACTGCAATCAAATGAATTCTGAAGTGCCCTATTATTTTGTATAGTCCTGTACTCCCATACTTTTATGAGCTCCATTTACAGTCTAATATAGGGAACTGAGGCACTATCTTGCTTTTATTTTTGTACTGCGGCTGACAATTTGAAACCTTTTAAAGAAATCGTTGGGATTTATATTGAGTCAAGAACTAAACATTGCCACTAATTTGCCAAATTAGTAACAAATTAAGCTTGCTTTTAGAAGCCAATTCTTCAACAGGTTGGGTGGTCATAGCTCGACAAGCAGAAGGTAGCTTACGAGTTTTCGCAACGGTAAGCTATGTAGTTTAGCTAATTAATAGCCAGCACATCAATGCACAGCTCTGGCCAAATTGTGCCGAAAGTCTGTAGGATTTGCTAATGAGGTTGCAGGTCTGGGGAGTCTGAGCATGCACTCTATACCGGATTAAAGAGAAACCGTGGAACTTTCAGTAGTTTGGTTTGGAGACTCTTACGCATGATGACAGGTTTTTGCATTTGTCAAGACACCTAACTGGCCAAGAAAGAAGACAATCACTTTTGGACAGAAGCAAGAATCTGTTTACATTATGTAGTAAGAGTATTAATGCCTCACTTTCAGAACAGTGCTGTTTGTCAGATGACACACTAACAAACGTAAATGTTTACCTCTATAGTCTGAGGTCTGGAAGCAGGCAGGAAATGAGCTCTTGGGTGAATGTCTGTGATATGAGGAGCTGGATCAGGATTTGTTCTTTGATGATGGCTTTTCAAAATTTCATTGTAAGGAATGGCATCAAAATTTGTCTTCCATACCAATACCTGTTAAACAGGAAAATGTGCATCACATTTGTTCTCAATTTTTTAATTCATGAAAAAATAAAACCAAACACAATTCTGATTTCTAACACTTTGAAAACGAGTTATAGGAGGAAGACACAAAACCATTCCCTCTTGAAATTAAGATATCTATTCACATAATGGTAAATCAGCACAATGCCAACAGTTGCGATACAAATATCATTACCCATGTTAGCTGAGAGCTTTAACTGCTCAAAAAGTGTAACATACTTCCTGTGTTTTTAAATCAAATACAGTGAAACCTTATCATATATAGTGCAGTTGGCTGGATTCAATGTCTCAGTTATCCACACGATAAGTGAGGTGAGAAAAAAATCTGACCCCTGAGTCATCAGGTCAGGGATATAAGTGTAATATGTACAGGAACGCCTCTGAAATGTGCAAAAAGTGATGACCACAGCAAGTCGATGACCGAAAGTTAGGTTATTTTTTCGCTCGGGAAGTCAGCTAATTAACGCCAGAAGCTGGGTGTACCACCCTGCTGGTTACCATATTGATCGCCAATATTTTAATTAAAAGTGCCAAACCTGTGAATCGCTTCCACCAGAAGCAAAGTATTCCCCATGTCTAGAAAATGCTACTGCAATTACAGGGCCCTGCAAAGAAACAATACACAAATGAACACATGGTCCATTCTGCAAATACATTTACCTCTGTTTTATTACATATTTACTGAAACAAATTCTGAAAATAGGCGACTAGATAGAGACAGGTATCTAAAAGTAGTAATTATATTGTTCTTTGTAAATCTATATTACACACTTTGCTACAAAATTGACTGTTATTGTGCATTAAATACACTGTAAACTCCTGATAACTCATCACCGTAAGGAGAAAGGGCTCAGTGACGAGTTATCCAGAGTGGAGAGTTAGACATATTTATAAACAAATAAATAAATGCGGCTGGGAACATTGACAGCATGATGACTTAAATGGTAGTGACAAGTTAGACCAGGGTCGAGTTATCAGGAATTTACTCATTTAAACTAATAAACTAATTTAAAACATGTAAAACTGAAGAACTGTAATATCCCATGAGAAAAAGTGCAGTGTGTATAATTCATTTTCACCTGGTGTCCATGAAGAGTGAAAAATAGTCTTCCTTCTAACAAATCCATGATCTTAAGAGTGCAGTCATTAGAGGCAGTAATGAGGTAGTTACCAGAAGGATGGAAGGACAAACAATTCACTGCAGTATTATGGACTGTTTTGACAATATAAAAGAAGAAAGAACAGTTAGCTTGTATAATCTAACAAGTCAGTGAATCTCCTGAATAACAAACTTAAAGTGCAATTCTCTCTCATAGACATTATTGCCAGTTCTTTTGGCTTCTATTTTCGTTCGCCAGTTCTATTGCCTTCTCCCGACACCGTTTCTCGTGCCATTGCTGCTTTGGAGACTCGGAATGTGGCATCACACAGTGCATCACTTTTGCAACCTTCCAGAGGGATCTTGCGTCAAACAATATTCCACATGGAACATTCACAACTACGGTGCGATGCCTCTTTGCAACAACTTTTCATTACCTTCATTAATTAGAATCTTTGTAAATTCAGCACTGGGAAATCTGGCCACTTTACAATAAGAGGTGTCTTCAGAGACAAACTGAGAGATAACACACTTTTAGACACGAATGGCAGAAGGTAATGTAAATTAAATTGGGGTGGGGGGTATGAGTTGAGTCGGATGAACCGAATGAGGTGAGGAAAGTGATCAAAAAGGCTGGAATTTTACCAAAAAGCAACAAAAAAAAGCAATCAAGCACAGCAGATATTTTACCAGTCCAGTATCATTTGGATGAATAAACTAGTCACCAGAATGATTCCTGGGATGAAAGGATTTCATTTCTATAATAGACTTACTTAACTGGGTTGCATTATTTGGAATTGTGTAGGTTGAAGGGTCAACTGAATTGAGATGTTGACTCTAGTTAGGAAGCTATAACCTTAGAATTGCATAGAATTAGAGAATGAAACAGGACATTCACGTAATATTACTCCCTCCTAATCCACATAAAATTACTCTCATAAATTCTTATGGCTTGGCCTACATTTGATGAGTTGCCTGCATTGGATTCATTCTGATCATTCATTGAAATATTGCCTTGACGTCCATCCAGCTATTTTATTAATACCTCTCAAAAAGTAGCTGAAGTAAATGTTCATTGCTTCCGTATTCGTCTATAAAAAATACAGTCACTACACTTTACAATATATCCTGCAAAGCGCTCTGAGAGGTGATATGAAAGGTGCTATATCAAACGCAAAGATTATTATATCCATTAAGAATTTAATTCCAAGGTTGCCACTAAAAATCAACACAGTCGGGTTTTGTTTTCCACAAAAAACAGTCAACACAATTGGGAAGATATTTGAATCAATTCTGCTTACCTTTGTAATGTTGGAGTAATTTATTTGTACGAGTGTCCCACAGTTTCACTGTATTATCAGTTCCTGCTGAAGCTATACAGGTGCCACTGGGATTAAAATCCACATAATTGGCAAACCTAGATTATAATCAACATCAATTTAGTATCTGAATCTTTCAATCATAAATTTTAACTTCTCTTTCACTTTTTAATCGGGGATAACAATCAAAACACGTTTCTGAAACAAAATGGTTGGAATAAGAACTACGCAGCTTATCATCAATGAAATGCCATTACATTGAATTGTAATCAAATAATATGAAGATACACTGTAATTTGGATAACATTAGAATGTACTAAGAACCAAACACTTGACATTTTTAATTATTATAAAGTAATTCAGGATTGAATGTGTTTCAGAAACAATGAACGTTAAACTTACCCTCCATGATCAGGAAAAGTACAGACACATTCTTTGCTCATTCTGTCCCAAATCCTGACAGTCCTGTCATCACTACAGGAAACAATGAGCCTTCCATCTGCAGAAAACCTAATTATAACAATAAAATCTTTGAAATCACGCAGATTTTTTACTTTTTAGAAAAATTAAGTAAAGTTACAGTACTTGCAAATATAACAATGTATGAGCAAATGCTATCTTCAGTTATAAACATGTTGCAATTTGTTAAAATTGGCTCGGTTGGTAGCACTCTCGCCTCTAAGGCAGAATTTTGTGTATTCAAACCCTAAGTCGGGAGTTTTGAGTTGACCGTCTCAGATGACATTCCAGCTCAGTGCTGGGGGTATATTACATTGTCAGAAGTGACCTCCTTCAGATGAGATGTTAAACCGAGGTGCCAGCTGCTGTTCAGGCAAATGTTAAAGACCTCTGGCATTTGTTGAAAAGAGATGGTGGTGGGGGGTTCTCCCAGTGTACTAGCCAATAATCCTCCAAATAAAATTATTCATTTCATAGCTGATTTTGGGAGATTGCCATGTTAAAATTGGCTACCATGTTCGTCTATCAAATATTGTCACTACACCTTAAAATTTATCCTGTGAATAACTTTAAATCATCCTACCGTTGTGAAAGGCACTATGCCAAAGGTAAAGATTATTATTATTAGATTAGCACTGGTTTGCCACTTTTTAAGATATTATTTTAAACCAAGCTTCTTTCTTATGTAGACAAAAATTTAAACATTTAAACACAAAACTCTTAACAGCGACCTTAACGTACCTTAACTGAAGCACAATATTTATTATAATGATGCTTAACCATTAAACTGATGAATCTTTAATATTAATACATTTAATATACTCAAACATTAAACTTGTTTAACCTCTGTTTCAACGAATCAAAGAAATATATCTTATACTCTTGATCCCAAGTCCAATAGTCATGACATGAACATCTTGACTACTGTATATCTCCCACCCAAATAACACAAAAGGAAAGAAACCTCACTAATGGCTGAATCTACACTATGGTTAAATGCCAATGTACACATAAACCAATCACAATATCTATGAATTCAATTGCAACTCACTTGGCGCAGCGAACCCAGTTGTTGTGCTGATTAAGGGAAAACAGAAATCGCTGTTGATGGGCACTCCACACCTTCACTGATTTGTCATCGGATGCTGTGACCAACAGAGTCCCATCACTGGAGAAGTTCACACTGCGAATTGTGGCACTGTGTGCTTTGAATGCAGTTGACTCTCCTTTCCTAAGCACAAGACAGCAAAATAATGTTTCATTGGTTTGTACTACAGATATGCCAGATACCTGGGAGCAAGCTGTGTTGTGAAGATCTTTCGCACCAGTCTCTGGTTAGTGTTTGTGCTCATTTAAAAGGCAGTGCAAAAAATATTTTGTCGGATGATATCATTTCCTACAATTCTATTTTCATTTAATACTCCATTTTCCAGTATTTGCTACTAAACATGCAGTATAAATGGAGGTTGAATGAACACATATCATGCTGTACTCTGCTCCTTATGCCATCTGGATGAGGCAATTTCAGAGGCAGTGACTCATACCCACTTCATTATCAATGTAAAGGGGATACTGCACTGGGCTTACTTCTCTATGGTCCATGGATAATTTTTCCTGGTATCCTGTCTAAGAATCCCCCAAATAAAATTTGATTATTCACTTCATGGCTGTTTGTGGGACATTGCTGTGTGCAAATTGGCTGCCAATGTAAATCCTGTGAAGGTATTTCCTTGAGATATTTTGACTATATGACAAGGTACTCCACCAAATCAAGCATTATTTATATTATTATCATAATAAGGATTGCTGGAGTAAATGGATGAACTTTAACTTTGCATTTGAATCTAACGGGAATTAAATTCACCTATGCAATGTTGACATTTTGCTGAGAGAACTGTAAATAGATTGTGCTGATATGAATGCATTTTGAAGTAAACATCCACAGGTCAATAAAAAAGGGCAATTCATACATACAGGCTGACATGTAATTGGCAGGGAACCCACATTATATCTAAATGTTCCAGAGACATTAATCAAAGTTTTTAGTTACTAATATAATCAAAGAATGGGGAAAATTGAATTACAAAATGGAACTTCTTTATCGCATAAACATGAAGAAAAGCCTCTCTTACTATGCAGAGAGAACACCCGTCCATTAGAGAAAACAATCAGAGCAGAAGCATAACATTCTCAGAACAAAACGATTACTAAATAACCTCAAGATTTAGTGCAGAAATGCTCCAGCAAACCTTTACAAACATTGCCTGGTTACAGGTTCACTAACAATACTCACACATTTGGGACCCAGAGTCTAATGGTCTTATCTCGTGAAGCAGATGCCACCAGTTCACCTGATGGGGAGAACTGGGCACATGTCACCGTGTCCCCGTGGGCTGTAAACCGGTAAGCTCTGCTTTGTGGCTTCAAGTTCCATATCATAAGGCACTTGTCTGCTGAGGTAGTTGCTTGAGAAATAAACAAATAAAATGCTTTGTAATGATCGAACACGACTGAACATAACTGGGGCAGTGGATGGGGTTTCTACAAATAATACTTGATTTAAGAAAAAACTGCCAAGATTCCCTCTTCTGATTGTTAAACAGTTATGGGAAAATGTGTGTATATATTATTATATATATCTATGCATATATACACACACACACACAAACACCGGAATCATGCTCATCTGATGCCCTCTGTGACTGTATAGTCTGCCTATATAGCATATTGAATCAAATATGATTAATGCCCTGCTTATGTCTTTTTATTCCTTTCAATTGTCAAGTTAATAGGACTGTCATTTTGCCTCTCAGACTTAGGAAGGATTAAATAAACTGAAGTCAAAAAATTGGGAACAAATTTAATTTCAAATGATTAGTAAATATTTTATTAACTTAAGGTAGAGCAAGAGCAAATTACAAAGTTATAATGTTAATACACTGCTCAAGATTTAGTTTCACAGTTGACATCATCTGAACTCAATTAGATCACAAACATGTAATTCACCCATTATTCATTCTTCTACAGGAAAATTGGATGCGTTATTTTGAGAAAGAATTAAATTACAATCTGAACTAATATATGAACCATCTATTTCATCTTTCATTGCACCGACGAGAACTGGAATAAAATTATACTTGAAAGTGTATGACGTAATACAAGATCAAGCACTTACCCAGTTGTTTGTTGTTTGGGTTGAAATCAACACTCGTCACCACATCTTTATGGCCTTTAAAGTGGTTTTCTAAAGTTGGATCCTCCTAACATATTAAAAGCACAAAACTTTCAAATAGGGACCCGTTATAACACGTCTGAAAACAGAACATTTTGTCTTGGAAAAAATTTCACAACTTTGCTTAAGACACTTTCATTTAAAATATTGTCATTTATATCCTTATCGCTGGTTTGACTACAGCCAACTAAATCCTAAGAATGCATAAAAATCCCCAACAGAACTTTCCATTATGTTCACATGATTGAGAGTTCTTGACGAAAATACCTTCTCCCCCCCACTGTAACGTTAACGTTTCAAGAACCGACAGCAATTGATAAACAGTAATGTGTTCACAGTAAATGGTTAGATTAGATCAGGGCAGAAATTGCCCATTATGGAGTCCTGTAGCTCAGTGGTTAGAGCACTCGCTTTGCAAGTGAGAGACCTGAGTTCAATTCCAGGCAGAGGGCGAAACCTTGGGCAAGTTTCCTTACTCCACACAGAGCCTAATAATAATCCTCCAAAACCCAAAACAGTAATAAATTGGTCATTTTCAATCTACGACTGTTTGTGGGACATTGTTGTGCGCAATTGGCTGCCGCGTTCACCCACAAATATACAGTCAATTCACTTTACAGTGTGTTCTGTGAAGCGCTTTGGGACGTCCTCCTGACGTGAAAAGCGCTATATCAAATGCAAGGATTATTATTATTATTATTATTATTTGGCACGTCCCCAGGCCAGCGAGCGGCGGCCGGGGCTCCGCGCGTCACTTACTGACATTTCTGCGGAACGTTACTCCTGGAATTCCCCATAACAACAACTCTTCTTTTTATTTTTCATTTCCCACCGAGAAACACAGGACGTCGGATTACACACAGACAAAACAATACAAAACAAAACACACCAAACGGTGCCGCGGGCGGTTTAACAACCAACAACAACAACAACAGCCAGCAACAACGCCGGTATTTGACATCAGGGCCTTCGAGACGTCGCAAAGCGCTTCACGGGACGACACTGTGAAGTGTAGTGACTGGGTATTGTGGGGGTGAAACACACAGCAGCGTCTCCACAAACAGCCCCGACAGCCCCTCTCACACACACACACACACACAACAACAACTTGCATTTATGTGGCGCTCAGCAATGGCGGCCGCGCCCCCCCCTCTCCCCCCCCTCCCCCCCCCCCTCTCCCCCCGCGCCCCCTCCCCCCTCCCCGTGTCTCTCCCTCTCCCTCTCTCTCTCTCTCACTCACCAGCGCGAAGGCCATGGCGGCGGCGGCAAGTCACAAAGCACTCGAGCCCCGAGCACTTGGATGCTATTGTTCCCGCTCCGCCGCTCGGCCATCGATTACGCGCTGCTGGAGGACCCCCCCCCCACACACACTGCGGGCGGGCAGAGCGCCCTCCGGCGGTCGCCAGGGGGCGGGGCGCCCTATTTTTTTTTGTGTGGTCAGCTGGATTCCTGAAACCTATGGGTGGGGGAGGAGTGGGGGGGAGGGGGGGGGGGGGTGGGAAGAGCACCCAAACCAGACAGAGCTCCACCTGGATATGAACCCTTCACTGTCCAGCGCCCGGGGCTACTCTGCCGACCCGAAAGGCGTTGGTTTGTTATGGCGTTCCACCTGCCCAAGAGATCTCACACCTGGAGATCAGGATCTGGAGGGTGGGGGTGGGGTGGGGGGTGAATGTTAAATATGACGAGTGCAAAGTAATCCGAGTGGTTTTGATGGGAAACTGAATGGGACTCGGCTTCGGCGATGATGCAATTTAATAAAGATAAGACGTCCTCCGTCCTCCTTTAATGTCATCCTCCATGTTGACACTTCCTCCTAGTTTTGTGTCATCCGCGAATTTAGATATATTATTTTCAGCTATTTACCATCTAGATCGTTGATGTAGATGGTAAATAGCTGAGGCCCAAGGACTGATCCTTGTGGCACTCCACCAGTCACATCCCGCCAATCTGAAAAGAACCCGTTTATCCTTACTCTGTTTCCTACCTGTTAACCATTCTCCAATCCATGTTAATATGCTCCCCCCAATTCCGTGGGCCCCTATCTTTTGGACTAACCTTTTATGTGGCACCTTATCAAATGCCTTCTGGAAGTCCAAATAGACCACATCCACTGATTCACCCTCATCTAGTTTACTCAAAATATCCTCAAAAAATTCTATGAGATTTGTCAAACTGGTAAAGCCATGTTGACTTGGCCTAGTTATATTGTGCTCCCCTAAATACTGCACTACCACATCCTTAATCAATGATTCTAAAATTTTTCCTATCACTGATGTGAGACTAACTGACCTACAGTTCCCCATCTTTTCCTTTCCACCTTTTTTAAATAGTGGTGTGACATTTGCGATCTTCCAATCCATGGGGACTGTTCCAGAATCCAAGGAATTTTGGAAGATCAGACACAAGGCCTCCACTCTCTCATTAACTACCTTTTAAAACCCTGGGATGCAAAGTACCCATTTAGGGACTCTGCCATGTCCTTGTCCCCCATTACAACTTCTCCCGTCTGCCAACCAAACTGAAACGTACAGATGGTTTGGAGACTATCATGGCGATTGGATTCCACGTGTGAAGATACAGGCGCCCACAGATTTATTAAGTATGATTGCTGAATGGATGCACAATCAACGGATGGAATCGGGAAACTACAGACCTCAAAGTTTTACAATAAAGGGAAAAAACAGCAAAAGTTATCCCTCATTTTACAACAAAATTACATTTATAGAGCGCCTTTCACGTTGGGAGGACATCCCAAAGTGCTGGACAGTCAGGGGTCAGGACCTGAACATGGGGGAAGGGTGGGTTATGGGTGAGGGAAGGCAGAGAGGTGGGAGGGCAATCAAAGCCACGATTGAAGAGAAGTTTGAGATCAGACTTGAAGGAGGCAAGGGAGGAAGAGAAGCGACCGTGGGATGGAGTGTGGGGGCAGAGAGGCTGAAAGCTCGGCCACGGATGGTAGGGCGGTAGACATGGAACAGCCTGATGCCCGCTGAATGGAAGGAGTGGGCAGGTTGGCAGGGAGTCAGCGGTCAGAGAGGTAGGAGGGGGTAAGGCCATGGATGGCCTTGAAAGTGAGGACGAGGATCTTGAATTTGATCCTCTTGAGGGATGGGGAGCCAGTAGAGTCAGACGAGGTGGGAGTGATGGGGTCATAGGGCCTGATGCGCAAGAGTACACAAGCTGCAGAGTTTTGGATGATTTGCAGCTTGTGAAGGAAGAGTTGGGAAGGCCAATGAGGAGGGAGTTTCCATAATTGAGCCTTGACTGGAATATCACAAGAGACATACAATTATTTTCCAGCAGCACACTCCAAGATCAGTTGAGTCACAGTGGCCAAAAGTGCAGGTTATGTTTACAGGAAAGGAAACAATTTCAGTTATACTGAAGCAGTAATTCAAAGAAGTTAAGGCAATAACCAATGTTGGCCATATTTTCTTCCTTGTTGAAAGTCTTCCACACTAAAGTATAAACGTTGATTAAAGACACTTTGTGATCAATGAACCAAAATAACATCTTGACAGAAGAGCCCAATATTTTCTCCAGAAAAACTACATAAAGACCAACCAGTAGACAAATCCCAAAACTGATTTGACATTAATGGAAAAATTTAATTTTTCTTGCAAAGGTGAATGGGTCAATTATTCATTTTCTCTCATTAGATTAGACACATTTCATAATAGTGTATTAAACTTTTTTAAAAAAAATGGATTTCATCTACTGTAGCAACTAACCTTTAACTGTTGCTCAATAAATAATCAAGTCATTTAACTACTGATGGGCAAGTAGTTATTTCATGGTGCTAGCCTTTTCACAGCAAATATATTCAAGACCTTTTTGTTAAACTCATCTTTCTATTAGTCTTTGTGGTTGCATTCAGTACCTGCAAACCTGTTTTCAATTACACACTTGGACTCCAAATCCCAAATGGAAACACATTTTCATTCATTTTTACATTGTTATTTTGAACTCCATTCAAATCTTATTCTGTACTTTACTGAAATATTGCTACACATTACCTTCTATAGTTAAGATTGGCTATGAAGCTTTAGGTGATGCCAGTGAAGTATTCACTACTTAAGTACTGCAACAATTCATCCACATAAAGATACTGCAGAACTGGGTTAAGAATAACCTTCTAGAGCACTTCCAGTTTTATAAGCTAGTTTTCTCAAAATTTTTTTTTGTGGTTTTGGAGCCACATTAAATGTGAAGTCAGTCAGTGCTGCTGAGAAAGAAAGCCTAGAAACTTAAGAGGAAAATTAAGAGTTTATAAAATATAAACTATCAATTAACCTACCTTTTATTGTCTAAACAGTACCTGACAAAGGTGATGGATCATGTCAGTTACAAGAAAACTGTGAAAGTTAGTTTCAGCGATGAATAGTATACAATACATATTTCTGAAGAATTATAAACTAAGTGCAAGTCTGAAAAGATCAACTGTGCTAAAGAACCAAACCTGCAGTCACTTGTTTATCTCAATTTAAATAAGACCAAGTACTGACGGACATTATGCAATTATATATGTCATCAGCAGCCTGAAAAATCCTCATGATATTAACGGTTAAGTCTACGATCTGAATGCTAAAATAAAAAAAATGCAGAATTTTGGCAAATGGTCTTAACTTGGAAGTCACTTTCCACAGTCCTTAAATTTTAAAGACGATGGTATTAAGGCCAACATCTTGAAGGCATTCAGGCATATTATCCATAAAGACTCAGTTTCACAGTCACACCTCATTCATAAAGACTTGTTTGATATTTTAACCAAGCAATGTTCAACCGGTTCAGGAAAAAAAAACATGTGATGAGTAGAAACTAAGCTTTTTAAGTTTTGTGCTTTGACCGAATGCCACAAATGTCAAAACTAATTGATGGAGCTTATAACAAATAGCAGCCTTGTCGTGTGATGAGCAACAGGTTTGCCATGGGCCAAAATCAAGGGTAAACTTTCAAGATTGACACAGGAAAAAAANGTGGCTGGAGATGGGTAACTGAACAAACCGAGTCAGCTGGAACAGGCATCTTTGAACATGGTCACACAATACCAACACTGAGCATGAAAAGGCACAACTTATTAGAATAGTTATGTTCAGCATTTAGCATACACCTGAGTTTTAAAAAACATCTAATAATACTTGCATTTGACCTAGGGCTTTTCACATCTTCTAGACGTCTCAAAGCGCTTCAGAATATAAAGTTAATTGACGATATATTTGTGGGCAAAACATTGTGGATTGAAGTGACCAATTTATAATTGTTTTCTTTTCTTGAGATTATCATCAGGCGTGTGGAGTAAGGAAACTTGCCCAAGGTTTTGCCCTGCTGGGAATCAAACCCAGGTCTCTCGCTTGCGAGGAGAGTGCTCTAACCACCGAGTTACAGGATTCCGTTGATCATGATGATCATTTGCAGGAGAAATGGTCCATGGAGAAGGTGATTTACAATCCAGAATTATAAACACAAATTTGGGCATTTGTTCAAAGACAGAATACACCAAAAAAACTACATAACATGCTGAAAAGCAAATCAAATACACATTTGTTGCAAAAATCAAGTAGTCAACTCATTGGTCACTTACTATACCACAGTTAGTAATTCTTCAAACCAATGTACTTTGCAAATGTGGTAAACATTAAATTCAAATGGTTAACACCAGAATATCTAGCTGTATAGTTTGAAATATAAAAGGTCTCAATTTTTTTAAAGAACTAGTTAATAGAACCTCTTCCTGTAATAGGAACAATCTATGTTAAACCATCTATTGATTTCAAAACTCGCTTTTAAAATTTAAACAGTGTACTAACAAATCTAGTATTGCATCTCATGAGTGCATGAAACATCTTGTGGATGAGATGAAAATGACATCTGTATTTACATAATCTACAGGCAGATTCAAAACCAATGATACATATTTTTACTGTACTGTTTTATGTCAAGTTCAGCAGACTGAAATATGCCACCTGAGTTTATCTGCCCAAACTAATTTCACTCAGACTTTTTTTTTTTTTTGCTTTTATGGGTTAGAATGAAATGCATTTCAATAAATACCATTGCACATCAGTCACCAGTTTTTAATAGTTAAAACCATGCTATACAAAAGGGGCTGTTACCATCTTGAAATTAAAAGTACCTTGTGCAGCTTGCAGTGTTTTTTCCAGGCCTCTTTAGAATTGACAGTTTACCCAGGGAAATAAATGATAGCACATGTGGTTAAGTAGAACAGGATATTTATTTAAGTTTACAAACAAGATTTTAAACTAAAGCAGAGCAGGAAAAAACACATTTATACTACATCCCAGTTTTCAAAATGCCAACAGCCCTCATGCGGCAAGAAATATTTTCCAAAGCTTTACGAGAAAACTTCACTGTTCCACTCACATTTGACCAAGACAATTCTAAGCTAATGTCTTAAGACAAACACAAATGGACGAGGTTCTGATGATTTGATTTAATCCATTTTATGCCCGAGTTGATAAATACTCTGAAGCATCTCATTATACATGGATGTACTTACATTTAACATTTCACCCTTACTCATTTGTAAAGAAAAAAATTCTTTATGTAGTACATTTCTCAGAAACTGGATTCTGAAACAATCATTGAAAACTTTTTGTAAATGTTTTGGGACTTCACTGGGAAAGAGGCCAGAACTGTTACACAACACTTCTGCGCTGTTTTAATAGTGTTATCCATTTGGCTACAAGTATTAGCTGTTTATCTACAATATTTAACAAAGTAAATCACAGGCATATTTAGTAGTTTCAATAGAAACACCCTTTTCCTGAAAATACAGTAGTATTTGAAGGATTAGTTTCTCTGCATCATGTGTCAGGAAGCTTTCTACCTACAAATAAAAGTATCTACAAACCTTGTAAACAGAACTGCATCATTTAGAACATAAATAATTCAAAATATTAACAGCCAAGTAGCAGAAATTAAAGTATCAATGAGCCAGGGCCAAATAAACACCATCCAGAAATAAAGAAAACTAAATGTTCTGCTAACACACTGCTCAGGACAATTCTTATAGTTGATCTTTCATCTGCTGTAACACAATGAATCCTCAAAGCAGGTCACTTTCATACAGGGTTTCTGTGCCATCTTCGAAGTTTGAAAAAGCACCCTTAGTCTGGCAGAAAGCTTCAAAGTATCTACATTCTCACAGTGTTTCTTCTGCTGAAGTCCAGACAAGAATATCTTGTCAATCACACAGTGTTAAAGGACCCACTTTTCCCTTGTAGCTCACTAGATCTAGTGTGCCTCTGTTCAGCTTTTACACTCAGAGAGACGTTTCCAGACTATGTAGAGGGCTCCCTGGAGTTGAAGAGATTGCAGACTTGCTTGCGTCTGTTGTAAGATGGATCGCACTGTCCACAGCATTGTTATTTTGGTTGTGTGTTAATCGAGGCGAGCCATTACGTTTTGTTGGTGGTTCATTTTCAGCATCAATCTCATCAATAAGAGGGATGTGAGAGTCAGAATCCTCTATTCTAAATTCTGGATGGGTCATAAAGTTGTGAATTGAATTGTGGCTGTCTCGATTTCTTGATCCATCATACAAGGAACTACGGAATGCATTCACCACTCTCAGCTGTAAGAAAAAGATAATGTTTCACTTATTTTGTACAATATTATAGCTAGGCTTCAGCTGTATTGTGAGCGAGACACTTTTTATAGCAACAGGTGAAATCTGTATCGTGCACAATGCAGTGTAAACTTGGGAAACTGGAAAAAAGGAATTTTAGAAGAGTGAATAAGTCTAGCAACAAGTATGTACATTTCTTGATGTAAGCACAAGCGTTTAACATGCCAATACTTACCAATTTATCACAATATAAAAAAAACTTTTACCTCACTTGCTTGAAAACGAAAAGGTATTTTTTTTTGAAAAATGCAAAACAAGAGCTGCAAACAAGGTTATCATCTCATGCGTGGAATTAGGATGCCACCATTCATGGATAAAAAGCCAAGCTTAAGAACACGAGCCATGCAAAAAAAAATTAAGTTGAGACCTGTGTAAACATTTGAGTATAAGCCCAGTATTTTCTGCATAAAAATCTAGTGTGGTACAATATGTATAGATTGTAAAAGGAGAAAGATCAAAAATATTACACCCAGCACATTGATACTCCAATGATCTGGATCACAGGATATTAAGGCACTGATTTGTAAATGAGATCCTTGCATGGCAAGTTCTTGATATCAGCTAAATTACTAGGAAAGCGAGGCCATGCACCTTCCCATGGGAAGACCAAAATGTTACTCTAGAAGGAAATGGGGGGAATGCATGAAGAATCAAAATCAGGAGAAAGTTTTAAATAAGAAAGTGAATGTACCAATTGCATTCACCTGGAATTCAAACCAATTATACGCACGGTGAAACTTCTGCAAACTGTTATTCCATCAACTGTGATAGGTATGTTGCCACTGCAAATTCCCATTGGACTTTTAGATCAGCTCAGTTTCAAAGCAAAGAGCAATTATTTCCCTCTCAACCCTGCAAAAAATGTGTCTAAACTGATCTCAAATGCAACCTGCTGGACAGGTTTGAGATTTCCCATTTCTCATGTGAACCAATTTTGTGGGCGTAACTTGCTGGTCCATGACAAAGATGGGTAGGTTGAACTGAGGTTTCATCTACTAGAAACTATTTCCATAGCAACACATGTAAAATATGTATTGTGTAGAATGCAGTGTAAACTTGGGAAACGGAAAAAAAGGAATTTTAGAATTGGCCTAGAAACAAGTATCCACATTTCTTGAAGTATCTTTAACTGTCAGCAGAGAGGACTAAGCTGATTAGTCAACATGATAGCAAGTTTCCCTCTGTCAAAGCACAAGTGTATTTCACACTGGGTTCATAGTGCTGGAAATAAAACTGCTTCACTCTGGGCAATAGAATTGATGTCACCCAAAGGTTGCTTAAACTTCCTGCTCTCAATCAGGGTCCAATCTAGAAATATTGGCTAGACGAGTGGTTTAGTACATCTTGCACTTTGCCTGAAGTTGAGAAATGGATTATAGTTTGTTTTAATAGTTCTGCCAACAGGCAATTACACAAGTACTTCTTGTAACTGAATAGAAACTTTAAGAACTAGGGAACATTCCAGAAGAATTTACTGTTTTCAGAAATGTTCCTCCCAGTAGTTTGAAACTAATCACTAGCATATATTCAGTGTTTAGGTGTATAAAATTTTAAATAGGATTGAAAAAGGAAAACCAAGAACAATACTTTAGGATGTAAGACAGGAGAACAGGGGGGATGTAGATTTAGAATTAAAGGGAATTGACGATTGATACCAGGAACTTCTTTGTTACCCAGAGGGTAATTAACAACTGGAGCAGGTTGCCAGGACACTGGAATAATTTAAACAGCCTGATGCTGTGATGGCAGGAGAGTGAAGTGGGTTTTATGGAGGGATGAGATCAAATGGGTCAAAGGGCCTTCTTTATTTGATCTATTCTTGTGACTATATCAGATGCAAACACTATCACATAATCATTCAATTAGAAAACTGCTACAAGAATCATCCACAATCTAAAAGTCTATATAATTCTCAAATCCATCAACGTTTTCTCAAGTCCAAAGTTTTCCAACAAACAAGAAACTAGTTTACAAATAAAGGGAATTTGGTCCTACTGAAGGCCCAAGTTACATTTGCCTTGACATCCAATAATCGAAAGCCCCCCAAATTACTTGTAGCTTAAAAGCTATGCAATGTGGGGCAATTAGAACATCCTACTTTCCGCAGTGTGTGCTGAAATTAGTTTTATTTGACTGCAATGCTCACATTACTCCAAAAATAGCCAGCACATGAGTGAAGTACAAAGAAACAAGTTACAGAAATCTTACAAGTCCCAATCAAATGGCATACTGCTAACACTATGCAAAAAGTCCAGTAGGCCCTCTTGTTGCTGTAACAGAAAAGTGTATACCTAGAAAGAGGAAACACAGAGCAACATTCACTGCTCAACTTTCTAAGATCGAATGCTATTTGGTCTAAAACCAGATAAAACCCGAGTTAGACAATCTAGAAAAAGGCATTTATGGATCTGTCAAATGACATTGCATGCTACAAGATGAATTCATCTACAACTGTGGGCTCATACTCAAAATTTACATTGGCTACTTCAAGACTTAGCTTGAGCTGAGAAATCCAACATATTCAAATTATGGTAGATGTGGACTCAACCCTTCATATTTTGCCTTTTGGGTGCAATGGTTGCACAAGTTCTCTAACTGAGAAAAAAAAATCTCGAAGACGTAGCTGCATGAATAAACTGAAAATAAAATAGAGGGTACCAAGGAAAGAATGAGAAACGTTAGGCATGTGGTTCAGGAAATGTTAATTTCATGCACTAAGAAACGCACTCACACCCCACAGTAGAAGAAGTAGTAGCAGTAAACACTACATGTGTAGGGGTAGAAACATTTGTTACATCATGGTGCTGGCTGCTGATGGAGGATTGTCGCCTTAGAGCTCCCTGTAAGGAAGTTCCACTCTGGAAAGCATTCACTACATCCATCTGCAATGAATCAGATTGTGACAGCTTACTCAGCAAGAGAGAGAAAATGAGAGAAAGAACCATTCGATCTATAATATACAAGGAGGAGAGAGATTATAAAAAGGCAGTTTATAAGAGAGCAGTAAAGATAGGAGACAGATCATTAACAAAGGAGGCTGGGTCATCCTGGCATAATAATTTTAAATAAAAGGTTGTTTTATACCTGAGTCTGTATTCTGTGCAACCCCCTGAACCACAATATTTGACCATGACGCAATTCTCTCTCTGCATGATCAATTTCGTCATTATCCTCTTCCAGCTCTTCTTCTGGAATCTCTTCCTTCTTTGTACCAAGACCAGCTTCTTTGAGGAACTTCAACTGACTTGTTGGGATTGAAGCAATGACCTACAAAAGAGAAGTCACTTTGTACTGAATTTCATCTAGTATTTCAAACCATTGAATCAATACAAAGCCCCTTTTGCAGTTCTGACATTAGTACAGGATTCTCCTGAGTACAGAATCTACCTTTTACTCAATCTAGAAAGGGCTGCAGCTCCACTTATTCCCAGGAATTGTAAAACACTACAGAGCAATTTTTGATAATACAGGTTTCAGGCTGAAGAGGACATGGGGAGAGTGGCAAAAGTACAGAATAGCAACACTAATAACTGGACCTCCGAGCAGCTATTTTGACTATTGTTTTAAATTCAACACATGATAGTCCAACTGATTATTTTAAGCTCCCGCATCCAAATATTTTACCAAAGTAGCATCACAGAGGAAAGAAAATCCAAGATTGGTATCAAGTACATAGTCATTTTTTTTTAAACAAAGCAGGCCCAGTGGCAACTTAGAAATCAAGCGAAATCACTGCATCCAACAAAACTGAGAATCAACCCATTGTATCAGGAGATATCCTGGTCCTAGGCTAAGCAAAGGACCAACAAAATCCATTACTGAAGTTGAGAGTAAATTAAAATAAAAAACTACAGATCTATTACAGCTCAGAGTTCAAAATAGCTTGTAATGTGAAAACATGTGCCATAGATGGCATCAAGACCACCTCTGCCTTAGGCGTCATTAAGGGAAGCAGAGTAAAAAAAATCAATGAACAGACCCACTGTCATCCTGCATCAAAGCCACAGACCCAAGCTTATGCTGGCAAAGTCATGAATTTGGAGTCATAACAATGCTGTTCTTAACTACTCGGTTGTTTATTGCAATGTTACTTTAAACAAGCACCTCAGGTGTAAACCGTCGACTGTCCAGGGCCTTGGGACATCCTCCAGATACAAAAAGTGCTATAAATGCAATTTCTACTTCACATTTAAAACTGAAGCAAGCAAGTGCTTCAGCACTTTAAAATAATTCTATTACACGTGCTGACCTGGCCCCAAAGTAGAGATCCTAATCCCAGGAAAACACACCACAACCAGAGTTCAATCGATAGTGGAGCACAGCTAAATGGTTGTCCACCAAATTGGACAATGATGACCTGTAAAAGGATGGAATAAGAATTCAGATTTCCAAAGAACAAAACAGTATTGCCACATTCAGAACAAGCTTGTCAAAACGGTCACTTGCCTGAATTACGAATGTTCCAAAAACAATGGCACAAAATATTGGATTGTTGAAGATCCCATGGAAAACATTTCTTTCACCATGAATCTTGCGAGCATTTATTTCGTTAAACAACTGCATCATCACAAATGTATTGAATATGATTGTATAGTGTACTGAAGGAGCAGCATGGAGGGGAGCATCTCGTCCGCTGTCTACCGAAAATATAGTGTCACCTACAAAAATTAGCATTTGGTTAAGATCAGAATATCAATGCAGCAAAACTTCACATCCAGTCTTTTGACTTGTTTTTAAACTTCATTTAGTTAAGAATCCCTATCTTTCAATAGTTTACTCAATATTTTTCATAAATTGACAGTGTGCCACTGTCTAGATGAGAGCAACACTGAAAAAGCAGTTATTCGAGCTAGTTTCCCATTAGGATTTAAAATTCTGCAGATCAACAATTTGTGAGAACATGAGTCAAAGATTCATCTGAATCTGACTAAAAAGAGCTCCACTATGATAATTTCTTATATGAGAACTCCTCTACAGCACACCAATAATTTTATAGAAACCAAAGCAAACATGAATTTTAAAGTAGCCACATTAAATGGAATACACTGCACAACTTAACCTTTTTCTGCAGAATTTGTCAACTTGATATATAGAATATTTGAACACAACGCTCAATTTTTTAGTCATGGCAGTTTTAAGCTAATCCTTCCTGATTCTCAGTTTTGTTGGATGCAGTGATTTCACTTGATTTCTAAGCTATCCTTCCTAGTTTCCCATAAGTGGCTCAAAACTTCCTCCCAGCCTCCTAAAAGTGAATCATCAAAACTCAATGCACTAGAATCCTTTCCTAGGATTTCAATCCTCTCTTCCACAAAGTATAATTTTTTTAATAAACTTATCAGGACACAACTGAAATTTTCGAGGGGGTTAAGATTCTTCTCCACTTCCAGTTCATTAAGATGTATACAAGAGTACAGGAAGGTAACATGCATACAGAACAAAATCAAGTTCCAACAGAAATCAATGTTCTAGTACAAACCACATTTAATTGAAAGCTAATTTATGTTTAAACAGTTGCTTACCAACAAACAAGAGTGTAAAAACTATAATAAGCTGGTACACAGCATGACCCAAGATATTCTTCATCATGGTGCGAGAAATCAGAGGTTTATTTCTGCCGTAAGGTTTTCGCAAAAGTAGTGCTTCTGTGGGTGGTTCAGTCGCCAAGGCAAGTGATGCAAATGTGTCCATGATCAAGTTTACCCAAAGCATCTGCACAGCCTTTAAAGGAGAATCCTAAAAACAAGTTTGAAACACTTAAAAAACAGCAAATGAAAAGATGATGCTGCCAACATTTGAAAATTATAATGCAACAAATAATTTGATCCTACTAGGCGATTACTTTAATTTGATAAAACAATGTAAAACATCACATGCAATCCTCTAGGGGCATGTACATTCCATACTTGGGGAAAACTTCCTTGTGTAGATGGCAGAGACTTGTGGAACTCAGTCTGGTTTGGATACTGTTAAGCATGGTGATGGGTTTCTATGTGGGTCAGATACCCAGTTACACAAAATAAAGCAAACAGACTAATGGCACAAAGTCCTACTCCTGGCTCCATTTCTATACGTACTCACACAAAGTACTCAGAGCTCTGAACACAAAGTGGAAATGGATTGTTTAAAGAGTAAATTAAATACTCAGCTAAAGCTGATACCCATTCAGTAGTGTTGAACTGAATTTTTGACTAATCAAATTTGAGAATGCAACAAACGTCAATCCAATGTGATCTCCAGTGTTTACTAGCCCCAACTAGACATGCTTAATTGTAATACCACACAGTTCCTGTAGTGCAAGGTAATATTGAAAGCCACAAAGATGTGAATTGCATATTCCATACCTGTGTTATGCATGCACCAGTAAACGCTACAATCACTGCGGAAACATTGACTGTAAGCTGGAACTGAAGAAACTTTGAAATACTATCGTATACATTCCTGCCCCACATAACTGCTTTAACAATGCTTGAGAAGTTATCGTCCGTTAGAATAATGTCAGAAGCTTCTTTGGCTACATCAGTTCCAGCAATACCCTAAAAGGAAAAACAAGACGCACATCAATGCTTTACATGTTAGAATTTCCAGCAAGCCATGAAATTGAAAGAGCATAAAAGATTTTTAAAATTCAAGCTTATGCATACCATGGCAAATCCAACATCTGCCTTCTTCAATGCAGGACCATCATTTGTGCCATCACCGGTTACTGCCACCACCTGCCTTCGCTCTGTCACTGTGCTATCAATAATTCCTTGAATACAGTGAACAAAGTGAAACATTTGATGAAACATAGCTAATTAAATACTTAAATCAGACTTTGCAACTGATTGCAAAGGTTTCATGACTTTTGAAAAATATTAACGATCTAATGGCATTATTCAAAGAGGAAGGAGCTTCGCCTGGTATCCCAGCCAACAATCCCAAATAAAATCGGTCATTCACTCCACGGCTGTTTATGCGACATTTGCTGTGCGCAAGTTGTCTGCCTGTTAACCCACAAAATACAGGTACACTTTAGTTTATCCTATGAAGTGCTTTGTGTCGTTGGCAAGATTAGCTTTAAATCGTTAACAATGTTAATTTTTAAATATAGGCAAATACAACAGCTAAATGATACACTTCGCTCACAAGCAAGAGGTCCTGGGTCCGATTCCCGGGCAGGGCGAAACGTTTGGCAAGTTTCCTGACTTACTTAGCAGCAAGCAAGAATCCAGTTGTTAGTCGACTGACGGATTACTTTTCCGGGAGTAATAATCTAAAAAATAATATGGTCACCTAATCCACGACTGTTTGTGGGACACTGCAGTGCGAAATTGGCTGTCACATTTTGCCCACAGAACAGTCAATTCACTTTACAGTATACTGTGTGAAGCGCTGTGAGACAACTAGAAGATGTGATAAGGCTCTATATCAAATGCAAGTATTATTATTATTATTATGGTTCTACAAAGCCATAAAGTTAATGACAACTTTCAACCTGGAGAATTGTTGGCCAGGACACTTAGAGAAATCCCTTTTCAAATAGTGCCATGGAAACATCCAGCCACCTGAACAGGCAGACTGGACTTCAGTTTAATGTTTCATCCTAACTTTTGCAGCTCTGACAATGCAACACTGCACTGAAGTGTCAGTTTCCAGTATTGACTGAGTTCAAATTCAGACTTAAAGCTTGAATCTATAATTTTTTTAAATAAGAGATAAGGGTCAACAAAGAGATCAAACTGTATAAAGGCAAGGGAAAGCTCATCACAATTCTACAATGGGGTAAAGCACACAAACACTGATCATAGGTTATTTCACAAGGCATACACAGAATCTGAATGGTTTCAGGTCAAAAAGGCCCATTGACTTGCAATAAAATCTTTATCAATTGGTATATTACCTTTTACTAAAGTGTGCTTATCAGTGGGTGAAGATCTTGCTAGGACACGAAGCTTGGGCCAGACCTTGTCTAAACGTTCTTGCTCAATCTGCAAAGAAAATATATTTGTGTAAATCCAATTTAGAATGTGGCAAAAAGGTAAATGTCACAATGCTCTTAACTCAAATGAGTATACCTCTCCTTTTGCATTGCGAATAAGCCTGTTGAATTCTTTACCCTCCAAGCACAGAAAATCCTCGCCAGGTAGTAAAATGCCACATTTTGCAGCAATGGCACGAGCTGTGTTAATATTGTCACCTGTGACCATACGCACAGTAATACCAGCATGTTGACATTTTTTAATGGCATCTGGAACCTACAAACAGAATGAAATGCAAAAGCCATAAGTTTTATTGATTATTGCATTAGATCTTAATACCATAATCTGAAGCTGGGCAATGATTTCATCTTTTATTCTAAGGATGTTAAAAGTGTAGACAGTTTTTGAAATGTTCTCTATTTCATTTCTTTGAAATGATTTCCATTAACCCTTCAGTCTTTATAAAGATGCAATAAGGAAAATGCCTATAAAAAAGTCAATTTTCAATAAGAGCTCGTGATTTTTTCCCCTATCCCAAACACACGTACTTCACCAATGTATGGTATTTTCAATTGACAATTTTTGCACTACCACATGCATAAATGAGACTAGGCCTTGTCTAGCACACATATTAGATTCTCAACTCCAGAAATATGTTGAGTGGATTTTAGCACTGGTACTAAACCTTCATTTGGGGGATTTTCTTGACACAGAAAGCGTCATTCAACTATTTATGCTTGCCCGAGCTCTAGGTGTCTCGGTGAAGTTTCAACCTATCACACAAAACATTGAGCGACATATCTCACTGTTCAGGGCACAAAAAAGGCAGAACAAGAACTTGCATTTATATAGTGCTCTTCATGCTGCAAGTAGCATCTCACAGCACATATACAGCTTCATCTTAATCCAAAGAGTCAGCTTTCAATCCAGATACAGACCAAAACCAGATCCAAGATCACATTAACTTGGAAACAAAAATCTATTTTCCAAGGGTAGTTATTATGCCTCTCCATTTACAATGACGTTGAACTAACGCTTTGAATCACAAATTAAACTATACAAGAGCATTCTTTCACGGTAGAAGAGCAACGCAATGTTTTCCACATAGGGAAATTTGTAAAAGGTAGGAGCAATTCTCAAACTTGTATTCAAATACTATTTTAGCAAATGCAAGAATTATTAATACATCACAAGCTGCAGACTAGTACCAGTCACTTACTTCTGGTCTCACTGGATCCTCAATACCAACAACTGAAAGACAGGTAAGGCCAGCAAGTATCTCATTTTCATTATTCCAGTCTGGTTGCTCAGATTGGGCAGGAAAATGCTTGTATGCTAAACAGATTGTGCGTAATCCTTCAGAAGCCATTGGTTCTATTACATTTCTTAACATATCATCACGGTCATTTGCCTTGAAGATCTTTGCTTCACCATTTGCTTTCAGAATTTTGGAACACCTAATGAAAGAATAGATAACTTTTTTAAAAAAAAATCAGAGATGCCAAGTTACTCCACAGACAATAGAATAAAGCCACAAATCACCCTATAGAATATAGCAGGATAGTTTGTATATTAGATGGTACAACAGGTTGTTGAAGCATAGAGCTATGAGGCACTTCTGTGACAGCATCTCACAGTTAGCTGTGAATGCTCTAGATAAAATTAGTTATCAACTTCACAGCTCTTACGGGACATTACCTTGTAAACCTATGAATAGTCACTACACATCACAGTAAATTCCTGTGAGACACTTTGAGATGTCCTACCGACATGATAAGCGCTCTGAAATGCAAGGCATTTCATTAATGTTTTGCTGAAGTCTTCAATGTCCATGTCACAGTGAACCCACATTTCAATGGGACGGTTGCAGCCAATTAAAAAAACTGCAGGTGCCTGAAACCTGATGCAGAAAGCCAGCACCTTAATTTTCCAACGACAACTTGTCATATCCTATTTAGTGCCATCAATTGATAGGGGCAATGCAGTTGCTATCAGTAGCACTGCCCAGTTGCTCTTGACTACAGTCTATTTATTAAAACTTATCCTTTTATCTCAAACATTCAAGGCTTGCAAACATTAGTGCCATACACAAAAGATATCCTATAAAAACTAATCATACTTACTTCTTAAGCAAAATTTCAGAGGCACCCTTGCTGTACATTTGAAAACTACCATCATCATTTTTCAGAACTGTACTCATAGATTTTCGAGTAGAGTTGAAGGTGTAGACTTTGAAAAGCTTCTCTTCTGGAATTTCATTACGAATTGTCTGGTAATCTCTCTTCATTTGTAATACCATTCCCAACAAGGCACATTCTGTCTTATTACCAACATGACGTGGCAGGCCACCTTCCTTCTCAGGAGGCTGCAAGGTTACATCAATATTGAATTAATGCACAGAATTTTTTTTGATGTTAATTGAAGTACATGCTTAAAAGCCAACACTACATTTCACAACAATGACTGGCAAATTCCTAAGGTAACGCATTAGACAAACAGCTCTTCTTTTACATATCACATTTTATCAGTCATCTGTTTACATAAGCATAGCATGTTTAATTAAAAACTATGGGCAATCAGTCAGATATTTCTCGCGTCACAGCCTACTTGAATTCAAATTTGTACAGGTGGAGAATCTACTTGTCATTGGAATGTGAATATTAAAGATGCTCTAATTAGGTTGAAACACAGGATAGTTTGGTTAAATAATCGGTTTCTATGCTGTAATGTTCTATGCAGATGGGAAAAGGAAAACAGCGGCATTAAAATGATTTTGCTAAACATTTTGCAAGTTACCCATTATGGACTTTTCTGGGTAGCACGGTCAATAGCAGAATTAATTTTATCTCAACACTCATGCTTGTTAAACCTAAACTAGTTTTTGCGGCAATATTCATACAAGATTTAGTAGTGATCCAGCCATGAAGAATTTAGTTTGCAAAATTGGTCTGGGATCTTTAACTCACTCAAAGATGGATTGGCCAAGGCAAAAACTCGATAGCAAGGTGGAAACATTCTATTTTCTAGAACTGTTATTCAAATAACATGGTGATCCAGAAGAGGAAAAAATAAATCCTTTACAAATTACTGGTTCACAAATAGAAATTTCCCAAAAAGCTACTGAATACGATTCTACATTTGTTATGGCAGTATTTAAAAATGAAAGTTCACATACCATTATTTTGGTAGTGTAAGCACAATTTACAGATATTGCTGTAATAAGTAGGTCTATAGAACGTTCAGGGAAACTGTCTGCAACGGGAATTTGCTTGTAGTGCTCGTCACAAAAGAATGCTTGAACCACAGCCATTCTGTTCAGCGTTAGGGTACCAGTTTTATCTGAACATATAGCTGTTGCGTTACCCATCGTTTCACAGGCATCCAGATGTCTGACTAAGTTGTTATCTTTCATCATTTTCTGTATTTAGAAAAAATGTTCAAATTAGAAATTGTGCATGAATCCAGACATTTGACAAATCACTTCCACGTTTGGATAATTTTACAGGTGTAATTTAAAACACTTGAAATCCGTTAACTAAAGCACAATCACCACCTTGAGAAAACAGTGTAATTAATTTGCAGCTATTGAAATGTATGGAATACAAAGGGAATTTTGATTAGTGCATTTAAGTTCCAGTGCAAATTCCAATTACAAATCCAAATCTCCCACAAGCCAATGCTGGTTCAAATAGATCTCGAAAGATTAACCAATAGTGTATCCTTTTTTTAAAAATAGTCAATTTATACAACCAATAATCCCCAGGAAAGAGCTTCTCAGGGTTGGGTGGCAAAGTGGTCAACTGGGCTGACCATCACCATGCTCCAAAGAGTCTCCAAACTGAGCTCCACACATATATGGTTTCATTCATCTGTTATGAAGTGAGCGCTCTCTCCCTGTATGGAAACAATCTGCTTAATCCTAATTCCAGAGAATTCAGGTGCAGGAGAATCAGAACCAATGAGAGTTGTAATAAAATCAAAGTAGAAGTCAACTATGTTCCCAAATGTAGAAGACTAAACGTGCAGTTCTGGCTTACCTTCACAGAATAAGCCAAAGAAATTGTAACAGCAAGTGGAAGACCTTCCGGCACTGCCACCACCAGGACAGTGACACCAATAATGAAGAATTTAACTATGAACTGGATGTAAATTGGTGTACATTCAGCCAGCCAGGGAAGTTTCTTAATCCAAAATGTATCGACCACAAAGAACATTACAAGAATGACAACTGTAATGGCAGACATCAACAAGCCTATGAAAAAAAAGAAAAAATGAAATTAAACATTAAATGGTAAAATTTAATCAAAAAAGAACTTTCTTGCTTCTTCAGTTAAGAATTTAGCTTCCTGGAATTTAAGGGGAATGACATTTCCAAGTACAGTACGCAGGACGAATTATTAAAAAAGACAATGTTAAAATTATTGGCCAGGTGCAACTCAAAATAGTTTTCAGATCTGTAGGCTACTTAAAATATTTTTCTAACATCACAAACTTATTTTAATAGAAATATTCAATCAAGAAAAATTTGGTTGGACGACCAAAAGGTTGGCATCCATTGGTCTAAAACAAGCGTGGATTTAGTTTACAATTTCTCATAGGACTTCATAAGTTTTATGAACTTTATGTCCCCGCACTCTGGAACTCTATCCTGAAATACCCCCGTCTAAAGACCTTCCCCTTCGACCGTGCCTTTGGCCTCCCTCCTACACCCTCCAGCCCTCCTGACCCCAACTCCGGTTCCAACCTCTTAATTGTCTAGCGCCCTGGGATGTCATTCCGATGTGAAGGCTGCTATACAAGTATAATTTGTTGTTAATATGTCAATTGAAGAGGTTAGGAAAGCTCCATTTGCTGGTTTAACATTATTCAGCTTTGAAAGAAGGTAAAATGTGCAGTTGACCATTATAGAAATCTAGAGGATGATTTTGAACTTTCTTTCAATGGAGACTTAGTCCAGTGTCATATCTCCAAAATTTGCTGCAACGAATATGAACTGACAGAGAACGAAGATAAAGCCAGATGTTCCATAAATGGGGAATTTCAGACTTAATTCTACACAACACCAAATTGGCTAGATTACCCAAAGAAAATGTCATACATTTAAATTTATTCAGCAGCATATAATGCACAAAAGGAACAAAGAAAGTATGTGATCCCATTTCGTACCTGCTTTTCCAATCTGTACTGCTAATTTGGTCAGCTTTCCTTGAAGTACAGATTTCTCTTTCTTTGCTAAGTGTTTCTTCTTAATTTTCTCCTCATCAATCCCTTCTTCACTTTTCAGAGGCTGCATCTCCATTGCTGCTCCATCCTGCGCTTTAGCTGACAAACAAGTTTTTAAACTTTACAAAAAGTAAAGCACTGATTAAAATTGCTAATGACGCTGCAAGAATGAGTATTACTATACAAACGATCTTTAGTGGAAAGCACCATTTAGATCAGACTTTTCTATGGCACTGTCAGGATTCTTATCAAAAGGCAGATAACATCTCAACATTCCAATCACACCAATCTAAAATAATAATCTAAATGCCGGAATATTAGAAATAATTATTCCACCTCTGTTGAATTAATGCCCAGAAAGTTAGCATTTTCAGAAGGAGAGAACATTGTACATTTTGTAACGGCAATATTGACAAAAATTCAATTTAACAGTGGACAAAGTGAGCAATTACAGCATAGCCCATTATGCCTATGCTGGGTCTACTAAAGCCACTTCCGATTCTAGTTCCTTCCCCATCCATGTTATATAGTTCCTCTATATTGATTAATGTTTTAAATGCTAGTCTTAATTCCTATAATCACTTTTGGAAAATTATTCCATATTTTAACCCACTGCATGAAAAACATTAAAGCATTCAGCTAATGATCCTTCTCTACAATTCTATATCATTTTAGTGATGAACAAGATGAGCAGAAGTTGACCATCAGTCCTGAAGCTGAAATTCACATATTTTGTAAACTGAGACTTCATCTGCAGTGCACTACAACAGCTTATGCCATGACAGCTAAATATATCGAGGTGTAAACTGAAAGCACATTCCAGCGCTGTTAGGAAGCTTGTCACCATGAGGAAGGGCTTCTTACAGATCTTGAAATAGAAAAAGGGAATCCTTAATCGTAAGTCACTAACGATGACATTTGGTCCTACACTTTATGGTAATTGCGAAGGGAAGGAAGGGGGAGGCAGGAATAGTTAGCTGGTGGAATGGTTTATACATTTTGTAAGAAGGACGTATACAAGATTAACTTCTCTGGAAGTGCCAAGTACACAAATTATTTGGATGCTGAAAATGTAAAGTTTCAGCTAAGGCTCCAGTGCCTTGCTTGAATCACACGACGACATGTTTGAGTTTTTAATAATTTAGACAAATCATTTCTAGAATGTTCAAATTCTGGAGGCAAAGAACTTCATTCCGGAACTGCTGTTATCGAATGCTTACCTTTGTTTCGATTTTCTGCAGTTACATCTTTTGTACCTAAACAAAAGGGTAAAAGACCAAACATTACATCATTATATAAGAACAATTGTTGAAGAAACTGAACTTTAATGTTGAAACAGGAAATTCCAACTTACTATTTAAAGCTGCAAATGACACATTAACAGACAACATAGACCTCAAATAGTGTGAATGAAATTAAACCCTCAATATTTTCAACTGTAAATAATGTGACAAAGCTGAATGATTAACCTTATACTGTACTGAAACATTGTACACATCAAGTTTCTGGAGATGGGTGTTGTTCAAACTGCAACTTGATCTGTTACAATACAGAGATAAGGAAATATAATATTTGATATACTGTAGTGCCTTATCACATCGTTGAGATGTCTCAAAGCACTTCAGAATATGTCAGAGTGGAATGACTATTTTGTCAGTGACAATTCACGAAGACAAACTCCAGCTTCCTCCGGAGAAATCGGCAACAAATTGTAAATTCAGTGGAACAATTTGGCGCTCCTGCCACAAGAGGGGGCATTTGGGCAAAAAATGCTGAAAACTCAGCGAGTGGGTAATGCTTTCATGCCCAACAACAAAATGACATTTGTATAGCATCTTTCATGTCGGGAGCACGTCCCAAGGCGCTGAAATGCCCACAATTTAGAGCAAGAAAAAAAAAGTAAAAATTTGTGATTGTAGCCTTCAAGGCAAAACAAAAGTACCATCGTAACGCCGTAGAGCAAGATTGATCCAAAGGCATCACTGTATTCTGGAGACAGTGCAGAACACAGCAATAAACTGAAACCCTTCATTAGTAACTGGACAGCGTGAGATTCTTCAGCTTTGAAAAGTTACCAAATGACTGTAGACTTGTATAGATTCTATAGAGGTAAGAGCACATCTACAGCTACAGACAGGAAGCCCTAAATATGGCATACTCACAGCTGAACATAAGGGTTGATCAGATTCGCTCTTTTGTAGGCACTTCCTCAGCCCTGTAGCTTGCTCAACTGCATTCAAGAATTAGTGAGGACTTTCCCTGCCCCCTTTACCCCCCCCCCGAATTAGAATTGGTCTTTGGATTTTTTTTTGCCTGTTTTATTCACAGCTTCTGGAAGTGGATCCAGTGGTTGACAACATGCATTAGGTGGACTGGGAACAAAGGCTTAATGGTTACCTGGGACCTTTCCCCATACATGCATCTAAACCAAGCATACTTTAAGATGCACTGAAAACAGCACTGGGTATGGGTTCAGTTAAAATGAATGACAAGCAAAATGAGCGGCTTCTAACAAAGTCATAGGTAACCTGTATCAACATAAAGTGCTGCCCATAAAACAGGTTTGCCTACAAATATTCTACACATCATAGTAACAGCCTGTGAAGCACTTCGAGAGAATTGCTGTGATAAAATTATTATATCAAATGCAAGCATTAAACTTTTTAAATATACTTACTGAGGGATTCATCTTCCCCAACTCCCAATAAGGATAAGATTATTCCACTTTGAGAGTTTATACCAACAGCTGTGACGACAATTCTTCCAGAACCTTCCATTACATGGGTACCTGAAAAAGAATTATTCTGCTTGAGGAAATTTAATACTGTACAATAAACAAGAGCATCTTCTGGTCAACTTGCTTAATCTTGGGAACAATCTTGGAAAGAAAATGAAATGTTTTGAAATTTTAAGCCAAGCACAAATGCAAGATTGACAGTCTAGAGGTTATTTGATACAGACTGATGAAAAAACATTAACTACTTAATTAGGAAAATAACAAAAGCAATAATGCTAAGTTTGCTCAAATCATTGGCTAGGCTACAACTGGAGTACTGCATCCAGGTTTGAGCAACTCAATTTAGGAAAGATGTTAAAGATCTTAGAAATTTACAAGAATGATTCTGGGATGAAGTTAAATAATTTTTTTTAATCCTTGTGGATGGATGAAAACATTTGGAAAATGAACCTGAATGTAGAATTTACATTGGAAGGAAGGTTAAAATAGATTCATGTCAAAACATTTGTTTATTCAATAGCTATTGTAAAATACCAATTTGACATTGTTTACCTGCCAACAATAGTGGATCTGTACGTAAATTCTTCTTCACATGATCTGACTCCCCAGTTAGTGAACTTTCATCAATTCTTAAGTCATTTCCTTGAATAAGTACACCATCAGTAGGTAAGAGGTCACCTAAACAGAAATCATTTAATTATAATTCAACATAATATTCAGAATTATTATACTTTATATAACAAACTTCAGAGAACCTCATACAATCAGAATTTTGCAAACATTCTACAGAAAAAAAACTCACTGGGCCATTAGTCCTTTTAGAAAATTTTAGGGCTTAGCTGCTCAGAATAAGCATTCTTGGAACTAATAGGAAAACACTACTGAAAAAACAATTCAAGTTACATGCTAAACAACAACAAAATTATTTACAGAGCGCCTTTCAACGTTGGGAGGATGTCCCAAAACATGGACAGGCAGGGGTTGGGACCAGAGCACGGGGGAAGTGGTGGGTTAGGGGTGAGGGAAGGTAGAGAGGTGGGAGAGCGACCGAAGGCACGATCGAAAAGAAGGGTCTTGAGACCGGCCTTGAAAGAAGCAAGGGAGGAAATGAGGCGAAGGGACTCTGGGGTGGAGTTCCAGAGTGTGGGGGCAGAGAGGCTGAAAGCCGAGCCACTGATGGTAGGGCAGGTCGGGCGGGAGACATGGAACAGACCAGAACCCGCTGTATGGAGGGAGTGGGCAGGTTGGTAGGGAGTCAGCAGGTCAGAGAGGTAGGCAAAGGCAAATGGGTGGGTGAGGGTTTCGGCAGCCTGAGGGGGTGAGGCAGTGGCGGAGTGTGGCAATGTTGCGGAGGTGGTGGTAGGCAGTGCCGATCATGGCACGGATGTAGGGGAGAAAGGACAGTTCAGGGTCAAACAAGACGCCCATGTTCCTGACTGGCTTAGTGAGGTTGAGTGTGCAGCCATGGAGGCTGATGTTGCCAGTACCTGAGGTGCAGAGGCACTGGCACGAGCCAATCAGGAGGGCATCGGTCTTGCTGACATTGAGTTGAGAAAGTTGTCCCTTGTCCAGGACTTGATGTCGGACAGGCAGTCAGTCGGTCAGGACACCAGCAGTCCTGGAGCTCAGGGTGGAGGCAGAGAGATAGAGTTGGGTGTTATCTGCATACATGTGGAAATTTATCCCATGTCTGCGGATGATGTCACCAAGGGAGAGCATGTTGAGGGTGAAGAGGAGGGGACTATGAGGAACACCGCACAAGACGGTGCAGGGGCTGGAGGAGAAGCTGTTTGCTGTGACAAAGTGGAGGTGGTGTGAAAAGTAAGACCTGAACCAGTCAAGGACAGAACCTTGAAGGTTGAAGTGGGAGGAGAGGCAGTGGAGGATTAAATGGTGCACAGTGTCAAAGACGGCAGAGAGGTCGAGGAGGACGAGGGAGCCCTGGTCGCACATAGTCACCCTTGTGACCTTGACCAGAGCAGTTTCCCACAGTGCCACAGCAAAAACACCTAATTAGAAAAGTTCATAGAGGGAGTGGGAAGAGAGGAAAGAGCGGAGCTGGGAGGCAACGGCTCTCTCTCGAGGACCTTGGACATGGAAAGGGAGGTTTGAGATGGGCCGGTAGCTGGATAGATGTGATGGGTCAAGGAAAGGTTTCAAGGTGCAGGTAATAGTGGCTGTTTTGAGGGGGGTAGGAACAGTGCCAGATGACAGGGAGAGGTTGATGATGTCGGCGAGTAGTGGGCAAGGAGGTGGAGCTGGGATTTAAGGAGGGGTATAGAGCAACAAACATGTATAGAGGAACAAGAAATGAATACTACACCACAAATTCCTACTCGGCCTCTTCAAATGCTAGCTGTGCGATGAACAATGAAGTGTCTGCAAGCTGCTAAACCAGTGACAACCAGAACAATAGGACCAAATGTCAAACCGTTTGTTCCTTTGGATTTGAAACAAAACTGAAGATGGTTGTTTGGAACCAATGCTTTACCATAGATATAAATGGTAAATTGTCAAGTTTTAATATACAATCTAACTGGTACATCTTATGTTATTGGCCAGAAATCCAACAGCCCATGGACTGAGTAATTGGCTTTACCTTGAGTCAGTCACTGGGAATCTTCCCAACACTTAAAGAACTACAATAGTCATTGGACATGAATGCACCTGCTTTGGGGAATTCATATGTATATTTTGGGTTGTATTTAAGTTCTTCATTCAATTTGATACATTTTCAATTTTATTTGCAATTATAGAACAGCCCTTGGGGGCCACAAAAAAACCCAAAATTACCATATTTAATTTGTGCAATGTCACCAACCACCAAATCCGCAACAGGAATCTGGATAATCTGACCCGCTCTTATCACGATGAATTTTTGCTCTTGTTCAATTCGTGTTTGTAGACCTCTGAATTGCTTTTCTTTACTCCAGTCATTGAATGCTGTAACTAATACTACACAAACAACTGAAACAAGGATAGCAACTCCTTCAATCCAGCCAGTGTCTCCTTGATGTTCTTCCCCAGATTCGTGTACACCACACACTGCACAAAGAGCAAAAAAGGAATTCAGCACAGAAATTTCAGATTAGTTTTCCAGCAAGTTAATTTAAAGACACAGAATATTAACTATCATGAGAGGGTAAACAAAGGAACCTATTCAGATTTAATTAAAAAATATATTTTTGTGGGTAATATTTTAACCCATTGGTCCCGAGTTCCAATAAATACGATGGTTCACAGAAATGCTTTGCCACAAATATAAATGGTACATTGTCATATAGTGTTTTTAAAAAGTTAACTAGTTATAACTATGTTCTGTAAAGCACTTAAGACATCCACCTGGCATGAAAGGAGCTTGATAAGTGTAAAATTGTCGATATAACCTATGTTTAGTTAATACCTGCTTTTGATTTGAAAGCTAGATTTTGAACTCAGTTTTTTTAAAGTTGCTCCCAGCTTCAAATTGGGTGGTGGAAGATGCTAAATGATTTTAAATGTTCAAAAGGTTTAAGAAAGAGGATTTTTGTGGCTTACATTTTATTAAGTATTGAAGCTTTATTTCTAACTATTTAGAAGCAGTGTATCAACTGAAACTAAATATGTATTTGGCAATGCAGTTTAAATCTAAAAATTACTAAAAGCATTGAATATGAACGCGCCAGAAGCTAGTAGTTAGTAAAGTGTACCTGCAGAGCAGAGGTAAGGAGGATCGAGAGAATGGAACAAAAAAACTTGATGCTGATCCATTTGGGAGCCAGTCAACCCTGTGAGCACGAGCAATGGGCTTGCACGTAGGCTATGTGACTTGGAATGAGCAGTCAGGGAGGCTAAATACAGTCGGAACAAGAATTAAGATGACTAATAGAATGGCTCAGTTTTGACGAAAGTGGCCTAACTTGTTAGAAAGCTGCCACTAATCAGGGTCAAAGACTGTGATCTCGAAGTCAAATATGTGACTGAGCTTCACAGATAGCAACATGGGAGTGGATGGGGAGGAACTGCCAGGTAATTACTTGATAGTTCAAGTATTTCCATTATTGCCATTTGTAAACCATATGACAGACCCTCAACATTTATGTAGCTACATTTCGGTAATAGTTTGTAGTTGTACAGCAGCTGAAAATCAGACAAGGAATTCCCTGGGCTTGCCAACCGTTCAATTTGAAATACTTACATTCCCCACCTCCTCCTGGAGGTCGATAGAAAGAAAGGCCTAAAGATATTACAGCTGCAACTTCTAAAATAATTAAGGTTACATCTTGTAGCGCTTCCCAGACTAACTGAAGAAAAGTTTTTGGTTTTTTGGGAGGTATTACATTTGCTCCAAAAAGTTCTTTCCTTCTCTCAATATCTGCTGGGTTTCCAGATAAACCTGCAGAGAGAAAAATAAATTTTAGTTCAGTTTGTTTTTCAAAATTGAAACAAGCAGAGGTCATGAGTTAGCAAATCTGTTCCCAGTCAGTACATTTGTGCTTAACATAACTAAAAACAAAATCCATTTTCTAGATACATTTGCTCATTACTAGATTTGTTAACACTAAAAATACTAAGTCATTGAACCCTATAACATTAGGCTACAACATGATTTCTTCATCAACCAAAGTAAGTTTGCAGAATCAACTATTCCACACAAGAACGTTTAAAAATGAAAAGCAAAGAGGGGAAGAGAACAGATTGAGTTAATTTAAAAAAATCCCAACATGTTTGGAAAGCAGCAGCCAACTAACATGGGACTGAAACCTTAGAAATTATCTTTAACAAATACAGTGGAAGCCGGCTAAGCCGGACACATCAAGGACAGTCATTTTGTCCGATTTGAGGTGTCGGAGATTAATTGATGTACCATTCCCACCCAGCAGAGGAGCGACGCCAATGCCGTACAATAGGTAATAATGTTGTTTCACTTGTAGCAATGTTAACTAACTAGTTAGTTAAAACACTCTTGCAAATTTCAGTGATTGACAGTGCAACTCCAGACACTTGTGAATGGCTGGAGTCGGCTGTCAATCACAATTTGACCCCTCACATCCACATCTAGGCAAAACGTGTGGCTGAATGCAGTCGCTCAACACCACTGAGAGCCCGACTGAATACATTCAACAGCGACCAGCTCGATATTTTGTCCGGAGTAACCGGATTTTCGTCCAAATTAGCAGACATATTTAAAACAGGTAAGAGTACAAATGAATTGGGGCCGAGGGTTTTGTTCTGTTTCCCCACAATTCAATGCGCCTTGACCTGTCTCCACTTGCGGACTTACTGGCAAAAATTCGAATTGCATTCAATTGCGTGAAATGAAGTTCTTCTGTGCATGTGTCGACAGATCAAGACTACGTTTCCTGCGATTCAATATAGATAGTAAGTACGGGAGGATAGGGGAGAGGTGTTACGACAGAATGTCGGTCAGATATCAAGTCCTGGATGACAGCCAATTTTCTTCATTTGAACGACAACAAGACCAAGGCTCTCCTGATTGGCTCCTGTCAGTGCCTCCACACCTCAGGATGCACACTCCACCTAACTAAGCCAGTTCGAACCTTAGTGTCTTGTTTGACCCTCAACTATCCTTTCTACCCCACATCCGTGCCATGACCTTCTCTGCCTTCCGGCACCTCTGCAGCATCGCCCGGCTTTGCCCGTCTCACACCGCAGATCACCAAAACCCTCATACACGCATAACATCCAGCTTGACTATGCAAACTCCCTGCTTGTTGGCCTCCCCAACTCCTCCATAGGCTGCGGATCATCCAGAACTCTGCAGTCCGTGTCCTCTCCCGCACCAAGCTCCGTGACCCTATCACCCCCATCCTCCCCCAACTCCATTGGCTTCCCATCACACAGAGAAAACAATTCAAGATCCTGGTTCTCACCTTCAAAGCCCTCCATGGCCTTGCTCCCCCTACCTCTGCGACCTCCTAACCCCCTACCAACCTGCCTGCTCCCTCCACTCAGCCGGCTCCAGCCTGCTTCATGTCCCCCACCCCACGATTGGCAGGCGGGCCTTCAGCCACTCTGCCCACACCCTCTAGAACTCCATCCAGCAGTCCCTCCACCTCGCCCCCATCCCTTGCCTCCTTCAAAACCCATCTCAAAACCCTCCACTTTGGCAGTGCCTCTTTCCCCACTGCCCTCCACCCTCCTCAATCACAACCCCCAGCTCGGGTGCTAAACAAGGACTGTCCAGCACCACGGGACATTCTCCAGACATGAAAAATGCTATACAAATGTAATGTTGTTGTTAAAGATCCTAAAGCACTATTTGAAAAGGTGTCCTGGCCAAAAGTGCCTCAGATAAAATCGGTCAGCACTTTATGGCTGGGCTGTATGTGTGAAATTGAACGTTTGCAAATTGACTGTTGCGTTCACTTACAAATTATTCACTGTACTTTACACTTCCCTGTGAAGAGCTTTGAGACTTCACGCTGACATGAAAGCTACATTAAATGCAAGGATTATTAATTCATAGAGCAAATTGAATATCAAGAAATTAGGTTTTGAATACTCCTGCATTTTCTTTAATAATCTTTCAATTGCCCAAGCACATTACATTTTGTTTTTTGTATCCTCTTATCTAGATTATAATTGTAAAATGTGTTCACTGACGTTTGAAGTATGCATCTAGAATATAATTTTCTGTTGCAGGCACTCTTCCAGCCACAAGGCATCTATATAGCAAAACTATTCATGTTACAAAGTTGGGTAAGTCTTATGTGAAGGCTGAAAATCTTTAAGAATCAAGCAGATTATATCAAGGTAGCAGACCTGATATTCGTTGCCTAGAAAGAGGCACAGCAAAGTGTAGGACTGAAAACCTATCAGTGTAGCATTTCACGTATATGTAAACTGCTCTAGTTCACTGCTTTAAAGCTAGCTTTAACAGTGGCCTAACAATGTGAATGGAATGAGATACCAATTGCCACCACACTATTTATTGTGTATTACTTTGAGTTCTGGGTAGGTGCGTTAAGTACATACGCTTCCAAATTCATTATTTGTTCAGTGTCAGCTAAATATTCTGTCCCATAGCAAACAAGTTTCCTTAATTAATACTAAAAATTGTAGTTTACATATACATTTACGCTACATTTATCTTAACTATGAATTTGAGAATCAGTTGGTGACCCAGCTCTCAAACACCCAAAGCTGCAAAAATGTATAATTTACATTAATTGTGAAGAATGGGAATTCAAGGCATTAAAACGGTACGAAAGGCATCTAAGGTATAAGCATCTACGGTACAATTAGTTCAAATCACCCGAAAGTAAAATAGACAGTGCTGAAATCACATTGCTGCTCGAGAACATATATTTTCATGTTGAAATGTCTCAAACAATTTCACCATCAAGTGTAGCAATTTGTTTTAGTAAGCAAATAGTGGTCATTTTACATTTAGCAAGATCCCACCAGCAGCCATGAGATGAACTGGACTTAAGGATTGTTGGAATCGGTCAGACACCAAAAGAATTTCCTGCTCTTTTCAAATGCCTTTAAATTTCAGAGATCTAACATTCAAACAGATAATTGGTTTAATATCTCTAATAGCAACTCTGGCATTGCAGAGCTCCTCCAGTACTGAACTGATGCATTCACCAAGAGTGAGCCCAAGTTTTAACATGGTGCTTGAACCCACAACCTTCTGACTTGGAGGCAAGCCGGCTATCAATCAAACCAAAGTGATCACTTATCTCCAGAACTCCTTAGAAGCCAGAAGACGTTTTCTGCACAGAGAAAAGTCAATTGGCTTATCAAGCCGATGACAGAAACCTTTTTTAAAAAAATGAATCAACACATACAAAATGGATAGTAATGAGATTATCTCCTCAGGCAAAATGCTACGCCATTTAGTTTGCAACAAAGCTTCTAAATGCAAGATTACTAACTGAGGCAATAGAACTAATGCGACCACATATTACCACATATATGGAGTTTATTTAGACATTTGTCCACATTAAACTGCTCTGTTGCAGGGCTACAGATCTACTGAGAATTTCTAGCCTCTTTACTTCAGGCTCATTAAATTTGAATTTATACTCTTCCAGTTTTGCACTAAAATCCAAATACAGTAACAGTTTGCATCTACTACACTCTACCCCTCACCATTTTAAAGATCAGATCAGTGTTCACTCTCCACCACCTTTCTCAAGCTCACCAGCCATGCAAAGCTTTTCAATCTAGATGTTATCCTCCTTCAGTCCAAAGCAAGCAATAAAGGTCATGTTGCTGCTGTCTCCACTCATACCAGCCAATAGTTTGATAAAATTGGCCATGCCTGCAGCATGCTTATGTAGATACGTGGTGTGATTTCCTGCTTGTTCTGTGTACAATCTTCCCTAAAGATTTGTAAGAAGTTACGTTTTCCAAATCTGCCATTGCTCTGAAATCAGTTAAAGTATAAATGGGGATTGGGCAGCATCTTCGGGTATTTTTAAATGTGGCATTAGACTAAAATGTCAGGAGTCTGATCACTCAAGGTAATGGATAATAATACAAAGAATCTTTGCATTTTATATAGCGCTTTTTGTGTCTTCTAGACGTCTCAAACTGCTTCACAGAATATACTGTAAAGTGAATTGACTGTATATTTCTGGGCGAAACGCGGCAACCAATTGTGCACAGCAGTGTCCCACAACAGTCATGGATTGAGTGACCAAATTATTATTATCCCTCCCTCAAGAAAAAGGGATAAGCTGTAAGGATGGCTGCCATCGGGCTTGGAAGCTAAAGTACTCTTGCTTTGGTATACGAACAAAGACACTGCATGACTACCCACTTTAACAAAGATTCTCTAGTGATTGAATTGAACAAAAACCTGCCAACTAAAGCGTCTTGTATAAACAATGTAGTTTAGAACGTGTTAAACTCAGGTAACTACAATACTGGAATTAAGTTTGTGACAGTCAAGTGGCAATAAAAGCTCTAACCATAAAGCAGAGAGCAGAATGGTTTCACACACTCAGCTTGTATCTATATTTTTGCTGCACATCAGTGATCCAAGCTGGGAAAACAAATGTCCCACTTACCAATAGTGTCATAGTTTGGCATAATACAAAAATTGAGGCAATCACATTGTGCATTAGCATTCACTGAAAAAAAGGCTGCAAATAAATTATACTCCAAATAAGGGTTGAGATCCAAAGCTTATTATAAATCTTATTTCAATGTCCAAATCACTAAATTAACAACAATATTTCATTTATAGAGGGCTTTTCACGTCGGGAGGACGTACCAAGGCGCTGAACAGTTGGGTCAGGACCCGAGCAGGGGGGAAATGGTCAGGGTGAGGGGAGGGAGAGAGGAGGGGGTAGAGAGTCGAGAGGGGAGCTGAAGGCATGGTCGAAGAGAAAGGTCTTGAGAGGAAAGGGAGGAAGCAAG